ACAGTAAACCTCTGAAATGATGTGTCTGCTGGCCAGACACACTAAACTGTCATGACATTCATGTAATTTTGTGTTTCAGGGGGAAAATTAAGCGTATTGCCTTCCAGTTTACCCCATATAGCTGGGTGAAGTTTGAATGGCGTCCTGCATCTAATCTGCGAAGATGGCTGGCGGTGCTGGGTATTATTTTCATGGTGAGTCACATGACCAGCTCATGAAATCACTGTACAATGATTTTGAATGAAAAATTATGCCTTTTTCTCTCGCTTTTTTGCAGTTCTTGTTGGCGGAGCTGAATACGTTTTATCTGAAGTGTGTGTTGTGGATGCCTCCTGAACATTATCTGGTGCTTTTGCGGCTCATCTTCTTTGTGAACGTGGGTGGAGTGGCCATGCGAGAGATCTACGACTTCATGGATGATCCGTAAGTACTAGGGATGCACCAATACCACTTTTTCCAGTACTCGCCCGATACCGATACTTTTATTTTTGGTACTTGCTGATACCGAGTACCTTAACATTATATTCATTGCATACATATACTTCGTAGTAGACATCCTTAACACCTTTCTGCTGTCTGTTCTGTTGTTGGTGTTTCTTTGTTTGAATATGGCGCTTATCACATGCTGTGTGGTATCGGCGTTTGGTATCGGGGCATTTTAACGAGTAGGAGTACGAGTACAGGAGACCAGTATCGGGCCCGATACCGATACCAGTATCGGTATCGGTGCATCCCTAGTAAGTACAATCTAGTGCTTTTCCAAATCCTAATGAGCTGTCTCAACTGTTGTCTATGTAGGCTGCTACCTTCTAAGGCAGCATTTCTCAGTGGGGCAGTACTGCCCCCCAGTAGGCTTTAAGCGAACATCGGAGGAGCTTGAAGCAATATTTTTGATAGCAGGCGTTGAAGTGTTCTTAAGGGGGCATATGTTTAAGGCGAGTTTACACCAAAGATTCACGACAAGATGAGCTTAAACATTGTAGTTTACTTGCAAAAGAATATGGTTCGCAACATTCTAACAATGTGTCTATACTGGACGCATTAAAGCGAACATTCCAAATTCATTTGTCGTGTTGCCTTATAGCAAGTGCATGGAGTACGTCAGAAATAAAACAGGGCATCCATGTATTACTTGTATTTGCTATTGGCGACTCTGCACAAAGGGACCTGGATAATGGATAGAAGGGTGGAAAGGTTGAGAACCACTGTTCTTAGGCGGTATCCTAGCTTAAAGGAGTAGTTCACCAAAAAATGAAAATTTATTCACCCTCAGGTGATCCAAAATGTAGAGGAGTTCGTTTCTTCATCTGAACAGATTTGGAAAAATTTAGCATTACATCACTTAAAGGGTTAGTTCACCCAAAAATTTAAATTAGCCCATAAATTACTCACCCTCAAGTCATCCTAGGTGTATATGACTTTCTTCTTTCAGACGAATCCAGTCGGACTTATATTAAAAATTGTCTTTGATCTTTCAAGCTCTATCGTTGTACTCAGCGGGTGTTGCAGTGCTTCGGTTCAAATGACGTGAAATAAAAAGCACCCTTCCACAAAAAAAAAGTGTCTCACACGGCTCCGGGGGGTGAACAAAGGCCTCCTGTAGCGAATCGATGCATTTTTGTAAGAAAAATATCCATATTCAAAACGTAATAATAACTTGAATCTAGCTTGCGCCAGCAGTTGAACACAGAAGCAGTTCCGGGGGAATGATGTATGAGGTCAGCGCTGCACATGCGCCGGTGCGTCTCGTGAAAACCAATGTTTGTTTACAGGATCAAAAGAAGCAAAGTTTCCTTACTTTAGCAAAGGAAAACCAGT